TCCTCTTGGGCTTTGGCGCAAGGTGCCTCGCTGACAGATATCTGCAGAGCTGCGGGCTGGGCGACACCTAACACATTTGCCAGATTTTATAGCTTACGTGTTGAACCGGTTTCCTCCCGTTTAATCGCTACGGTCAGTGGCGCGAGGGAATAGGTTCTGTCGGCTTGCTGCACCATTCCACCTTATGAGCTGGATCCATGCGGCTTTTTGCTCCTTGGTTCCCCAACAAACGGCTAACCTTCTGAGTTTCTCCATCATACCCCGGCATTAGGCGTGGCGGACCGCATGACGCTAGGTCTATTTCCTCTCTTAAGAAGTTGCTAGTAGACTGGGTGACCTTCACGATGACTTCCTCGTGATCATTTTTCCACATTCTTGCTACCCTATGGGCTATCTCTGTCTTCCCCTCGACAGACTCTCTCTGTCAGCCTTGCTGAGTATGCGCCACACCCTACGGGCTGGGACTACCTCAAGGATTCCTATATGTTTTACTACCGTACGGGCTAGTTCATATGTGTATTCAGTGCCTCCCTTCGGGCTGGCCGGGGGCTCCGCAACGTTCCCTCCTACCTGGGCACGTTTCCCCAGTGTTATCCAAATCCACTGAGCGGGTCTTGCGTAACAGCAATGTGATTGCCTCCTAGATAGCTCCTGCCCGAAAGAAACTGAGAAACTGCTTGGTGGGCAGCTTAGCTGGGCGCTGGAAGGGGCCAGCCAGTGATGCGCGGGTTGATCCGAAATGATCACCCGAAACGGTCACCCGCGGTTACCCGCAGTTACGGGTCATCCAAAAATGTTTTTAATGATATTCGGGTCGCGGTCGGTCGGGTCGTTTGAAAAAAGATGCCAATTAAACATTTGTATTTAGTACTAGACACAATTTTTGATGAAATATACAGCCCTACACTTTATTGGCTGAATAACTGGCACGAAGATAACACACAAGCTCAGTCTAAACAGTTCTCGGTTCTATACTAGTGATTCGAGAACCGCTGTCCCTGTGCGTTCGGTATACGCAGTATCTATGCGCAGTATCAGCTGCTCGTGCTTATCACTTCTCTCAACAGTGGCACCAACATGTCTCGGTTCAGTGAACTGTTGGAGTTACTGGAGTAAAATATAATTCAGGATATTGATTTATTTCGATTCGGAGGCGACTGTCAGGCATGTCTGAAAGTGAGTAACTTTAGTAACTTGTGGATCAGCACTGACGCAAGACGCGAACTGTTTCGAACGATTCAGTTCAAGTGTACCGGTTCGACCGGTTCACTAAAAAGAACCAGTTCAAAAGAACGATTCGTTCACGAACCGGCCATGTCTACGATGATCACTACAGTCTGCAGAGAGATGGAGGCGACAAGAGAAAAGGTGAAGACTGGGGAGGGGAAGCTCCACAAATACACAAATAGAAAGAGTAAAAGTGTGGGAGACATTTGCTGAAATAATGAAAGATGATGACCAAAGTGGTGGCTTTGCCTTTGTTATGTGTAGGCCTTCGTCTTCTTGCGATGCTGTGTTGTTACACGTCTATGGCCCAATAACGCTCCGATGAGCATTTAAAAAAATGCGGTCAGGAAGCGGGTTGGGTACAATGTTTTTTTTTTTACTTTTTTTGCGGTCCGAGTTGCGAGCGGGTAGCTGAAAACGTCGGTCAGTTGCGGGTTGTTTATACATTGACCCGCGCATCACTGGGGCCAGCATCATGGCGTTTTATTTGTAGTGCTGGGGTAAACGATTATTAACTAAACGATTAGTTGGGCGATTATTTTATCGATTAGTCGACTAATCGGACAACTAATATAAAGAATATTTTTTCTGCTGCTCAATTAATAAAAAAAAATATCTCAAATAAATACTAGCATACTGAATCAAGATACTATAAGCTGGCTAACGTTAGTCTAATGTTATGTATTTGAACACCATCATTATAACTCTACAACCGCCAAAACCGTGTTATAAAAATATTTTTACAAACATTTTTTTATCAGAGAGAATGTTTAAATATTAATATCAGCTGAGGAGGGAAACGGAGGCGGAGTTAATGGTGTGATCGGAGGCTTCTACTGCTGGAGATGAATCGGGAGAGGTTTGTGCACCTACTGATCAGAGCGCATGCTAAGGACACGGAGTAAAGCCTTGTTTATACTCGACACGTCCGCACGAGCGCGAATGTGCGCACGGCAAAAATGACGCGTTGGGTGCGGAAGACCAGGAAGACTGTGGCTGGCTGTGTGTACGCTTTTTTTTGTAACAGCGCGCCCGGCGCCGCGTCCAGGTACAACTTCAAGCCGAATCTGCCCGAGCTTGTACGTCTCACCACACCGGCACCCAGTTTGCGCGTCTAAATTGCAAAGTTTTTTTTCTTAAGGGTTTGTTTACTGTGTGTGATTCATTTAATGGATAGCACATTCACTTCTAGTTGCCTTCGTCCTCTATTCTGCAATGTTTCGGTCTCCCACGTGTGTGTGGCAAGCTGTACCACCGGGAACATGCAAAAAATAAATAAAGAAGCGTCGACGCAAAAATATGACGTCGACGCAATTTTGACGTCGAATCATCAACGCGCCGCTACAGCACTATTTATTTGGGATCCCAATTCGTTGGAAACTCCTCCGACGTGACGTAGGAGTTCCCAGACGAAAAGGAACGTCTCGGTTACGTATGGTAACCCTCGTTCCTTGAGTAGGGAATGGAGACGTCTCGTTCCCTCGCCATGCTTGCTGTACCTTCGCAAGGACTGGACACCATCCGGCTCCTCAGCGTAAAGCAAAGGTATGTGTGTTTGCTTCCATTTTATACCCGCACTGATAGGTGGGACGCGGATTGAAAATCCCGCCTGCCAATATTCATTGGCTCGTTTTTAATTCATTCGAAGGCAATTAGTAGCCTGGCTGCGCCCTCCTACGCACTTCCGCTCAATTTCATTTTACTTCAGTAAAAAAAAAAAAAAAAAAAAAAGATGGCTGAGAAAGATGACGTTGATGTAAGCGCGTCGGTTTGAGTTCAGTAATGGCAGCGGAGAAAGACGTGAGAAAAGCTATTCGGTCCGTTGTTGGAAAAGAAACTGCCGAATATACAGAATTTAAAGCCGGATTGTTATCGTCTCACCTCTTGTTGCACAACTGAGGACCAAGTGAAGGAGGCAGAAAGTTTGGAAGTTTGTGCTGGGCAGCTCGTGCACGATGACGGTGACATTTTGGACAGACGGTTTAGCCTGGTGTTCGCGGTGTTCGGAAGCCCCGAGTCCTGGCTGCTAAACTATTGTTGAAGATCCGCTCAGGAGTCATGTCAGTCGCTCATATTCCCAACTGTATATTTACTGATTCTTGTGATGAATTGAACATTTTGAGCCCCTTTGTGCACTCGTGCAGGAGGTTGGTGTATCAGTTTTACATGTTGTAAATCATACAAATTGGTTGTGATTTTTTAAAAATAATTGTCATAAATAAAAATGTGAAAAACCATACTTTGAAGATATTTGATTTTCAGTTTTAGATGGCAATGGTTGATTTGTTTTACTAAAAAAAACTAAATGCCACATAAAAGTGTACAAACACATACTTTGAAGACCATAATTAAGGTAATTAAGAAACAATAAGACGTAATATGAAAAATTGTTGTTTATTACACATCTGCAGATAGAGACAAGACTGATCATTCACTGTAGCAGCTACAGCATTTGCGGCAGATCAGAAAACGACCTCAGCTGCGTATTTATAATGATTAGACACAGCTTCCACCGTTGAATGAATATATCACTGTCCTTCGTGTCAAAAATAAATTTCGAATTAATAATTGTTCCTAGATTAACAAAACCTGCAGCGCTCGTTGACTGAAATCCTATTGTAAACATAATCCTCTGATCATTCGGACTTGTTGTTTCCAGCCATTTCGGCGTGTGACATACGTCACTCACGACACCCCGTTACCGTTAGCGATTGGCTATGGCAGATCGTGAGTGACTTTGGGCAGATCCAATAGATTTGAACTTTAATAGTGAACCCGCCTACAAGGAAGGAAACGTTTCTCAATGGTGCAGTTCCAGACTCTATGTGCAAATGAAATGTACTAGAGTCTGGTTGAACCAGGCTAGGCAATTAGTCTCCCTAGCGTGATCCCAATTCATTGAAAACTCCTCCTCCTACTCAGGGAACGATGGTTATCATACGTAACCGAGACATTTTTGATGAAAACATTCCAGGATTTTTCTCCATATAATGCACTTTACTGGTAACCAAACGGTTCAAGGTCCAAAAGACAGTTTCAGTGCAAACGGCAAACTGTTCAAAGGGCTTTAAACGATTCCAGCCGATGAATAAGGGTCTTATCAAGCAAAACGATCACTCATTTTAAAATAAGAAAAAAAAGTTTAAGTTTTATAAGCTCAAATGGTCGCCTTTCTCTGTTCTGTGATGTGCATTCGTGACTCTCCTGTTCAAACTCGTTTATCAAAATGAACGATTTTTTTTTCGTATCATTTGGTTCATTCAACGAATGAAATGAACTAATTGACTCGGGAAAAGATTCCTTCGGAAAACCTTAATTTTTTTTTTCGACTGAAGAAAGAAAGACATGGACATCTTGGATGACATGGGGGTGAGTAAATTATCAGCAAAAGTTTTTTTTAAAAGTGAACTACTCCTTTAAGAGATGTAAAAATGATACAGTATATGTACAGGAGGAATGTACATTCCTTAGAAACCTGTTGCATCATTTGATAAAGTATACATTTTTAACATGAAGTTGTTTATCAAATTTACTTCATAAAAATCATTAAAGTTTTCACAGCAAAAAGAGACTATAAAGTAGGATTCATAGTAAAGTGTAAAAGCTTGACATTTGTGTGGCGCCTTAAGGAATGTTTCTTTTTAAAGAAAAAGGCAAATTTCGCCAGCAATGTAATTTTATTTTAAATGAGTATATGACATTTTGTGTGTCTTGTGTTAGTTATCTTTTTTCATAGTAATGCTAGTAATGGATTTCATAAAATTTCATTGCAGTTTTATTTGTCCTACCATCTTTATATTGTTACCTGTGCTGGAGCTGGGGCCACTATAATCGCACTGGTAAGATTTCATGTTAAATGTTCTTTTAATTGTTTTCTTAAAGGGACAATGTGTACTTTATGTATTTTATTATTTAGAATCAATATTTTTATTCATAAATATATCCTCAATGGTGTACAAATACCTCTGCCAATTATTTGACTTATCCTTGCAAACGAGGAATTTATTATCTTTACATGGGACTGGTAGGTCCACGGAGGCTTTCATGTAGTTCTGCCATCTTGAAAAAGTACAAGGCCAACGCATTTCCACAGCGCAATTTTGTTCAGAGCCAGCATGACGTAACTGAAAGCAGCAGAAGCGGAGGAGCAGAGCAGTGAGAGGCGCTTGTCACTGCCACGGCTTTGCAAACAGTGATGGGGAAGTTACTTTTAAAAAGTGGTGTGATGTGTTACTTGTTACTTCTTAAAATAAGTAATCCATTACTTTACTTAGTTACCCCAATTTGGAAAGTAATTTTTTATGTTACTCATTACTTTTACATTTCTATTATGTTGCTTGACTTTGGGTAGAACCCAATATCCGTTCCTAATTGTGTAGGCCTACATAAAGTTCTACTATGCATAATGCCATATATAATGCCACAAATGCATAATGCATTTATCAAAATTTTGAATATTTATGAAGAAATGCTCGTTAACGGATAGGCATATGCATGGGCGGTGCTAGGGAGGGGCTAGAATGAAAGCCCCCAAGAAACAACAAAGCTCCCCGTTAGCACCCCCAAAAATAATTTCTGGAAGCAATTATATTCAGGCTGTATTCTATGGAAGTCCTAATGCGCTTGGTGAATAAAAAAAAAAAAAAACATTATAAGAAAACGTCTCAGGTTACGTATGTAACCCTGGTTCCCTGAGAGGGAACGAGAGCTGCGCTGTCAAACGCGATGGGAACGCTCTGCGTGATTGCGTCGTGAAGCGTCTGTACAATCAATCCAATGAGAGAGTAGGACGTCAGGTGACATACGTAACCTGAGACGTTCCCTTTCAAGGGAACTTCGAGCTGCGTTGTCAAACGCGATGGGAACCCCATACCCACTACGCCATGCTGAGAAATGCCCGTTCTGTGTGAAGTCCTTGCACACACTAAGAAGCAAGCAACCTAGCCCCAGGAGTGGAGAGGCCAAGGTCATAAAATCTGACAAATGTATGCAGAGAGAACATCCTGCCGCATTACAAAAATCGAGAAGGGAAACACTCGGAATAAAGGCCGTAGAGGCCGCCATACTTCTAGTAGAATGGGCCCGAACAGCCATAGGTGAAAGCTGTTCAGCCGCTTCATAAGCTAATAATATAGCCTCGACTATCCATTTGCTCATAACCTGTTTAGATGCAGGGGACTCTTTCTTGAGTGACCCAAAGCAGACAAATAATTGTTCAAAGTTACGCCACAGGGCAGCTCTGTGAACGTAGGCATCTAATGCCCGAACTGGACATAACAGGTTCAGTCGTTCCTGATCTGGGGTATTAAAAGGTGGAGGATAAAAGGCCTGCAGCACTATAAGAAAAATTAACTGGGACCTAAGGAGTATAACCCGGTCTAGGGTATAGAAATGCTTTCACCATACCCGGTGCAGATTCCAGGCATAAAGGAGCAACCGACAGGGCATGCAAATCTCCTAATCTCCGGTAAATGAAACCGCAAGGAGAAATGTTCTCAAAGTGAGGAATTTTTCTGAAACCTCTTCAATGGGCTCAAAGGGAGCCAAAGCCAGACCCTCAAGTACAATGGGCAAATCCCAAGCTGGTGCTCTAAGTGCAGTGCAGGTTTCAACCTCATGTACCACTGAGAAAAACTAATTAGAGGATCTGTCCCGATAGAAGTAACCCCCAGAGGGGTGTGGTAGGCCGATATAGCCGCCACGTAAACCTTTAAGGTAGAAGGAGATAATCCAGCAGAGAAACGGTCTTGCAAGAAATCAAGAACTGTACCAACAGGGCAGTTAACAGGATCTTGGTGATGTTCGCCACACCAGATGGAGAATAATTTCCATTTCAATGCATATAGTTTCTCTCGTGGAAGGAGCTCTGGATTGGAGAATGGTCTCAACGACCTCAGTCGAGAGACGGGATTCTATGAGCCGGGCCCCCTCAGAGGCCAAGCCACAGTATCCAAACTCCAAATGAGGGTGAACTCCCAGGAGCAAAGATATCGGGAAATGCGTACCAGTGTAGTGTTAACCACACCTAATACATCACATCCAGTCCAAGCAGAGCTGGATGTGTGAGGAAGAACCAAATAGAGCAATGCGTTGTACCAACGATGTGAAATGTTGACTGACTTTAGTTTGACTTTAGTTCTCCCTAAGAAACTCCACCACCTCGGGGGTGAGTCTTCATTCCCTGGGCCTCAGCCCCTGCCTCAACAGGATATCTGCTCCGATATACGAGACCATCAGAGTTTTATCCGAAAGGACAAACACATAGTGACCTCTAGGGTCTGGCAGGAAGTATTGAGATTTTCGGGAATACCGCCATCACTTTTAGCCAATTATGTGCTAAAAGGTAGATGGTCCTGCCAAGTACCATCCGCCGAGCAACCACTCATGATCACCCCCATCTTTTCAGGGAAGCATCCGTCGATAGCATTATGCGTCGACAAGAAGCCCCAAAAACTGGGCTTGGGCGAGAGACCAAGGCTCTTCGACATGACAAAGCACGAAGGCAAAGCCGCGTGACCTTGATCATGCGAAACGTTTTTCTCCTCGAAAAAAACCCCTTGGTCCTGAGCCATCACTGCATGGGTCTCATGTACAAAAGGCCAAAAGTAACTACGTTGGACACAGCTGCCATGAGAGACACCAGTCTAAAAAATGCTTTACAGTGAGTAACTGGCCTAGATATATCCCCCAACTTGTGAGGGAAGCATCCGTCGAGAACATTATGCGTCGACAAGAAGCCTGCAACAATGGGCCTGGGCGAGGAACCAAGGTTCTTCCTCAAGACCGAAGCACGAAGGCAAAGCCGCGTGACCTTCATCATGAGATAAGTAAGCGTCCCTTAAGTTTATTGAGAGAAACCAGTCCTCGGACTGAATCTGTGACACAATCATATTTAAGCATACTGAACTTAAGATTCTGAATCCAGCTGTTTAATTGACACAGGTCCAGAGTAGGGCGCAACACCTCATCCTCTTTCAGAAACAATGAAGTAATGGCTGTCTGCTGGGAGGAGGAATCCCTTCTACAGCTCCTTTTACAGAAGTGTCAATACTTCCTGTTCCATAACCAAAGCCTGCTCGGGTCCACCACTACGAGGAGGACGCCTAGAAATCTGGGCGGACAAGAACCGAACTGAATTCTGAAACCCTTTTCTATAGTGTGCAGGACCCACTGAGAAATGTGTGGCAGTAGTTTTCACGCTGCCAGAAATTCTACTAGGGGAACCAGTCTCTCAAGACTGGCCTCTGGATTTGCTTGAACAATCATTTCGGTGCCCTGAAGCAGCGAACCGACAGGAAGCAACCGAACTGACCGCTCTACGACCCTCCTCGGAGGATCGTATGGGGACGCTGACACCTCGGTGTCCTGAACGGCGAACCGGCAGGAAACAACCGAACTGGCAGCGCTGCGACCCTCCTCAGAGAGTCGCACCCCAGAGGTTGCCAGGGAGAAACGATTTCTCAAAATCGTCCCTGCCCCGGAGGAGCCCTCAGAAGCCTGATAGCCTCATTTTCTTGTCTAAGCTTTATTAGAGATGATGACAGTCCTCAGATCTGCCTATCTCTTCACTAGCTTAGTTCCTACGACCCTCCTCGGAGGACTGTTGGATAAAGCAGGCACCTCGGCGCCCTGAAACGGCGAACCGGCAGGGAAACTGAACTGACTGCTCTTTTTTAAGGCTCGTTTGGGGACACTGAGACCTTGGTGCCCTGAAACGGCGAACCAGCAGGGAAACCGAACCATCAGTGCTGCGACCCTCCTCAGAGAGTCGCGCCCCAAAGGACACTGAGGAGAAACGATTTCTCAAAACCGTCCCTACCCCAGAGCGGACCACCCTTAGAAGCCTGACCGCCTCAGCGTCAGGGCTTCTCCTTTGTCCAAGCTTTTTTAGAGATAAAACAGTCCTCAGATCTTGCATTTCTCTAACTGCCTATAGACTGTTCTGTTTGCACCTTGTGCTGCGAGGAGCTTAATAGGCCGAGACTGCTCTCGTCCAGCAGTCTCAGGAACATTGGTGAGGAAGAAACCTCTGGAACACCGCTGAATGGATTATTTCATAGTTTTCTTGAAAGCGGAGCGTCCAGAAGAACAGACATATTTTTATTTTCCCATTATCTTTATATCGGGAAAAACATATATGTATATAAATCTGTGGCCACCAGCGGGAACAACCGAACTGGCAGCGCTGCGACCCTCCTCAGAGAGTCGCTCCTCACACACATTCCATACCCACCAGGGCTGCCTAATAAAAAATTATTCATTATTTATGATGGCTGGTGGGTAACATCGGGGTTAAAAACGATGACACCGACTCGGGAGAGAGAAAACTTGCAAGTAGGGCTGGGCGATTTTATTTTTTTCAACTTTTTTTTTTCTTATGTAACAACCACATTTTTATTTGGTAAAAAGTAATATTCTGACTGTTTGAGTTGCATTCAAATTAACCATTGGTCATTCAGTATCATGCATTTAGATCATGATAACCACAGATAAAACCAGGTATAGCCTATAACTTAGCTCCTCACTATCATGGCATAACTTTATGGTTTCTGTATTTTTTGAATGAAAAACAATAGCCTGACAGCTAAATACATTATTAAATACTGTACTTATATTAGTCATAATACATTGTCAACATTAATAATATTATACAATTCAATATGTATCCCATTTCATGGTGCAGTTAATATTACCAGGCTAACCTTACAGTAAATCCATGGTAGGCTAAATGGATTCAGTATCAATTCAGATTCTGACTGTATCGTTGCACGCAGTGTTTCTACTGTTTGTCAGCGGAGTTTAATCTGCCTTTAAACTGGTTTAAACTTGACATTTGTGT